TTATGGCGTGTGCTTTTCCTGAAGAGCCAATGTTATAGCAGTCAGGAAGATAACCATCACAGAAATATGCCTTGTATGTCCCTCCCAAAACCCAGGTCCCCAAATCCCCCTGGAACAGGGAGAGCCACAGAAGAGCTGGGGCTTCAGGTTTCACCTTAATGGACCCCAGATAGGATCAGAGAGATGTTGGCTTTTTTCATTATAGCTGAAAATATGAAAACCTTTTGGGATTTTAGTGGGTTGCTGGCTCAACCTGAGTCAATAATGTATGTGAGAGAACAGAAGAGGAGAGAAAAAAGCAAACGTGGCTTTCAGGATTTATTGATGGAATCAGGGTGTCTAGAAGGAGAGCCTGGACAGCCTTGGTCTGAGCATTGCTGGTGAGGAGGGAGGGCCTTAGGCCCGGGGGCCTCATTTTAGGAAGGAACCTGACAAGATGGTCTACATCTAGTGAAAGTAGTCAGTACTGGGGAGACCCTTGACAACAATGCCACATATCAGTATTGAGTAAAGGAAATGGGCATGTCCAGAGTTCAGCCCTATGCCTTATATATAACTTTAGAAATGTGTGTATAATATAATTGGTGAATGTTCAGCCCAGAGGAAAGGAGACAACATGCTGGAAAGCATGGTAACTGTTATCAACTATTTTTGAAAGGCTGTCCTGTGGAAGATGGATTGACTTAGTTTCCTTGGCCCCAGAGAACAGAAGAAGGAGCAGAGGATGAAGCTACAGAGAGGCAGATTCGGGCTCCACATAAAGGAATGAGAACTTTCTACCCAGTCGAGTGCCCAACAATACACTACTGCTAACTTAGGAAGTAGCTAGTTCTCCATCACTAGAGGTATTTGTGAGAAGATGGGAAAAAACATATCAAGAACATGGTAATGGGCATTCTTGATTGAGACAGACTACATGTACTAGATGGTCTTTAAGGCCCCTGCCAGCTCTGACATCCTATGTTCTAAGGCCTTTCCCAGTCCTGACATTCTCTGTTCTAAGGCTTCTCCTAGCCCTGACATTCCATGTTCTAAGGGCTCTCCCAACTCTGATACTCTCTCTTTTGAGAGGAAGTTTGGTGTAAGCTTAGACTAGGAGTCAGAAAAATTTAAGCTCAAATCCAACCTTAGATACTTAGCAGCTTTGTAACCTGAGCTAGCCATTTCCCCTCTCTTTGCCTCACCTGTTAAGTGAGGGGGTTAGGCTTGATAGCTTCTCCATATCCCTTCTATGACCCTGGGATCTCTTCTATGGTCTTATCACACTTCTGTTTCTAACATTTGATGTTTCCAATCACGTCTAGTTCTAACACTTCATTCTGTAAGATGCCCTCAGACCCCAAGATTTGAAGAGGAGGAAGAAGGTAGCCAGATCTCCTCATTTAATCATCTGGGAGAGAAGAGAGGCTTGGGAGGAGGAGATACCTGCATCCTTCTACAATTCCAAGCTCCCTGGGGACCATGTTCTCTCCCTCCCTCCATCCCCAAGGAAACTGAAGATCTGAAAAGACTTTACCGCATTCCTTAACCCTTTGAGGTCTGGAGTCTTCAGCATGAGGGCATCAAACACCTCCTCTGTCTCCCTCCGGACATATAACAAGACTGCAAAGGACAGCAAGCAGCTTTTAGTTAACGTGAGAGGGAAGAGTGAGGCCATTATAATCTAGGACATGGGGGACTGATCATGGGATTAGTGGATTTAAGGCTAGAAGAGACCTTCTGGCTTATCTAGTTCCCTCTAGCTCCTTCATTTTAAAGGGAGAGAATCAAGGCTCAGGAAGATTAATCAACCTTTGCAGGGGCAAATCGACAAGTGGTAAAATTGGGATTTGAACCCATCTTCTGATCCCAAATCCAATACTTCTCCCACTATATCATGAAATCTTGAGTCTCCTACACTTTTTTTTAAAGGCGCAGAATGAAGAGAAGTAAACACAACTCTCACTGTCTATCTGAGCCCTGAGACAGAACTGCCCTCATGGCCAGGGGCATGACACACTTCTTAGAAGACTGAAAGGTATTTGAGAAGAATATTGGTCTTGGAATTAAGTCTGAGATAGAGTTTGTCACCTACCAACAGTATGACTGTAGCAAATTACTTCACCTCTCTCTGAACTTGTTTCCTCATCTCTAAAATGGGAATAGTATCATTTGTTCCACCTTCCTCTAATGCATTCATATTCATAAAACACTTTGTAAGCTTTGAAGAGCTGTACAATTGAAGATCTTTATTACTATTCATCCCTCATATCAGATGTTAGCCCTCCTGAAAGGGTACCAAGGGCTGTCCTCTCTTAGAGAATGCGGCACAGATCAACAAGGCGTGCTGGAAAGAACATGGGGGTTGGAGTCAGAGAACTCATCTGTGTAACTGTGGGCGAATCAGTGCCCCTCTCTGGCCATTGGTTTTCTCCTCTGTAAAATGAGGGGACTGGACTTAGTGACCTCAGAGGTCCCTTACAGGTCTAAATCCTCAGATCCTATTAGATGGTGCCTGGGGGTGGGGGAACAGTCACCTACCTCTCTGGAGATCATCTTCTTTTGCTTGCTTGGGAGGCAGAAGGTCAAAGTCATCAGAGAAGGGTGAACAGGTTCGTTTCAGAGGCAGCCTGAGGGGACAGAATAGCAGAACATTGCAGGTCAGGAGGGCAGCAAAGAGAGAGAATCCATCAGGCATAGAAGCTGTGTGAAAAGGGGCTGTTTTCTCATTGGGTGGATTTCTGAGGGGCCAGACAAAGAGCAGGGCTGGTCTTGCCCTGTGTTGACATATAGCTGGTACTGCGGTGAAGCACAACGTTGGGGTCCCTCCAGACAGTGCCACTGCACCTAGATTTAAAAGCCAGTGTTCTGGGGTGGGGGGGCAGTACTAGCGAAGTCAGAAACCCCTGGAATGTGACCTGGGAGAGGTTGGAAGTAAGTGTAGACAAGAGGTTATCTTAACTTTTATTTTGTCCTGTATCTCTTATGGTGGCTGGTGAAGCCTATGGACCTTCTTGGAACATTATATTTAAATACATCAATTTACAAAGGAAACCAATTATTTCAAAATGTGGCTATCAAAATATTAACAATCAGCTCACAGACCACAGGCTACACATCTCAAAAAAACAGCCAATAGAGGGAAAAGCCCCAGTAGTGGTTCAGGGGACCTTTCTCTGACAAGCCCAGGTCATATAAGGTATATTGTAAATATTTATGTTTGTATGTTTCCTGTTTCCTAGAATACAAATTCACAAGGACAGGGATGGATCAGGTCTAATTAAATTAGCACAGTGTTCTGCAGATGTGCATTCAGTTATTCAAAAACATTTATCTTGCACATAGTAGTAAGGAAGTCTTTCTACAAAGAAGGAATAAATGAAGGAATGAATGAATGACAGCTTTTGCACATAATAGCCCTCAGAAAGAATGGAATGATGGGGGAGGGAATCGGAATCCCTCCCCAGCACTGAGTCGTCTCACAAAGCTGCCAGTCAATCTCCCCATCTGCCAGGCCATCACGGAGACTTGCTATTTTGTTTGTTTTTACAAGAGGTTGTCTCGCCAGAGATTAGTTGAGTTTTCACATAAAATGAGTCCAATAAAAACTGGGGGAGTTTCAATGAGAAAGGAAAATCTAGTCCCCAGCTCTGTGGTTGAGGCCCACGCCCTCCAGTCACTGGGCCTCCCTTATGGGTCTGTTTGGAGCAAAGGTGGTCAGCCTTAAAGGGAGATTGGACTATGTCTGCTCACAGTAGGTGCTTAATACATAGATGTCTGTCATTGTCATGATAATGATCAGCGTTCTATTTCACCACTGAGGCTATTCCCTCTACCATACAGATTGCAGCCCCTCCATGCCTTAGCAAGGTAGGAGTGGGGGTGGCATCTTCATATGCTGTTAGCACAATGCCTGGCACACAGTGTGTGCTTAAAAAATGTTTGAATGAATGAATTCTCGTGGCAAAGAAAAAAATAATTCCCTGCTGGCCAAATATCTAATGATGATCTCCCATGCAGTTATGGAGGCTGGGCCCTAAATGACAGCCCCAAAAGTACATTCCTGGTGTGGTCCTCCAAGCCTTTCTAGCTAGGGCTGGCATAGCCTTCCAGAACCTAGGGTCACCTCCACACCACACTGAGGCATCCGAAGAAGGCCCAGGGGCTGCCGTACTTTATATCTCCAGTGCTTAGCATAGCACTGGGCACACAGTAGGTACTCAATAAATGTCCTTTTCTTTATTTCATTTCCTTCATTTAAATCCCTTCTTTGAGAAAAATGAGCTCTGGGCACTGGCTTGTAGATGCGCCTGTGCAGGGGGAGCTGGGTGCAGGAGGTAGGCATGAGAAGAGGGAGCAGGCTGGGAAGGAGCACTGTTTTGGAAGGGGGAGGAGAGAAATAATAGGAATTATGTTCTTCATACCTGTTTGTGCCATTGTGGATAGTAGGAGAACCAGCCTAAAAATGCAAAAAGAAATATGTGTTCCATTATGTCAGGGAAGGATTTCCACTTGGGGCAGCGTGGTATAATGATTAGAACACTGTGCTTGGAGTCAGGAAAACTTGGGATCCTATTCTGCCTTTGACACTTGCTAGATACATGACCCTGGGCCCTGGAGCCTTGGGGCAGCTCTCTTAAGATTTAGCAACTCACTGCTCTAGAACATCACCCACAAGAGAGGGACCTCCAGTGAAGAGGGCGCCACCTTCTCCCAAGGCAAACCATCCCACTTTGGAATATCACTCGTGTTTCACTACATAAATCCTACACTCATCTCTCTGTAACTCCTCCCCATCACTCTTCTTCTGTCCTGCAACAGGACTTTAAGTGCTCAAAGATAGCTATCATCCCTACCCCCAGCCCACCCAAGTCTTCTCTCCTCCAGGCCAACCATTCCCAGTTTCTTTGATCAGTTCTTGTATGGCATGACCTCTGGACCCTTCACTCTCCTGGACATTGTCCTCTAAACATTGGTCAATATCCATCCGAAAATGTGATGTCCGGAATGGAACCCAATAAACCAGAAGAGGAATCTGATTGCACAGAGGACGGCTTTTGTCCCAGACTTTTTATTTGAAGCAGTGGGCAGAGCCCTGGACTTCAGAGTCTGGAAGACTGGAGAACAAAATCTGCCTCAGGCATGTATTGGCTATGTGACAGTGGACAAGTCACAATCGCTCTCGGCCTCAGTTTCCTCATCTGTAAAATGAAGGTAATGATAGCAACCTGCTTTAACGAGCTGTTGTGATAACCAAATGAGATAATAGACATAAGGTACTTTGCAAACCTTAGAGTGCTACAGAAATGTTCTTATTGTTGTTATTATTCGTAATAACGTAGCTGAAGTTTGCTCTCTTGGTGGCCAGGTCACACTGTTGACTCCTATTGGCTTTGTGGTCAAGTAAAGCCCTCAGATCTTTTCCCCCTGAATTCTGGCTATGCCACCCCCCACCCCATGCTTTTGAGAAGGTACTCATGACGGCACAGTCATAGCTTTGAGACCTTTAAGGCCTGATAACTTCAGTTTGCTTTGAAAAGCTCATTCCCTGAACCTGGCTACAGATGCTACACCTTAAACTTGGCCAGACATTTCATAAACATATGTTGTAAGTCACCATATGGAGCTGTCTGAACCCATAACCTCCCCGAGAGGGCTGACTCAGGAGGCTGCCTGGGACCTTGCCAACCTGTCACCACATGCTGCCGCTGTGGCCTCAGGGAGGCTGATTGTGTCATTCCAGTGACGTCCCATGTAGCACGTCTCCTCACTCCGTAGAGGCCTCTCTGTCCTGGCTCCTCCACACTGAGATGTTAACTTTCCAGAGAAATCTTGATTACTGATCATGACCAGTTTCTAATTTACTCAGGTTTGGATTCTAATTTAAATAGTGCTTCTGTCCTCAGAGGGAATGAGGGGTTTCTCCCAGCCTCAGGGATTTCCTTCTTCACTGGCCTTTTTAAGGGCCTCCACGTAGGGAATATAATAGAGGAGGGAGGAGGAAATAGACCCATAATAATAATATTGATAACACTTCAAGGTTTGCAAAGCACTTTACCTATGTGCTTGCATCATTCCATTATTATTACCATTTATTGTTGTTAAGTCATTTTTCAGACATGTGGAACTCTTTGTGACTCACATTTGGGGTTTTCTTGGCAAAGATACTGGGGTGGTTTACCATGTCCTTCTCCAGCTCACTTAACAGATTAGGAAACTGAGGCAAAGTGACTTGCCCAGGGTTACACAGTGAGGAAGTGTCTGAGGCTGGATTTGAACTCATGAAGATGTGTCTTTCTGGTTCCAAGCCTCAGGCCCTGGGCTGCTTGGACCCCTCTCTGACCCTTACCACACCATTCCGTTGCAAGTTGGAGAAGTGGATGTTGGGGATGAAGAGAACAGGCTGGCTTTCCAGGTCAGACTCTGGCCGTAGGTAGGTGGTCTCATTACCTCGGAAACTGGAGAGTAGGCAGCCCTTGAGATCTGCTGAGCAGAAACCAATTCAGTCCTGAGAAGTTGGCTCCAGTAACTAGCAGAGGCTGGTAGAAAGAGTCCTGAACCAGGGGCCAGCTCACTTCTAATCCTACCTCTAGTATGAACTAGTTCATTGTGTGACCATGGATAAGTAATTTCTCTTTTCTGGGCCTCAATTTCCTCTTTTGTTAAATGAGGGAGGGTAGACCCAGGTTCCAGAGCTAACGTCCTGTTTAATTCTTCTAAGGCCCTTCTCATTTTTGACTTTCTGTGTTCTAAATTCCCTTTCAGGTCTGACATTCTATGTTCCAAGGTCCTTTCCAGCTTTAATATTCTATATTGTAAAGCCCCTTATAGCTCTAACATTCAACATGCTAGCATTTCTTGGCCTCAGGACCCTTCTCGCTCCGATGTTCTGTATGCCAGCATTCTATATTCTAAGAACCCTTTGAGCCCTAACATTTTATATGCTACTATTCTATATTCTAAGGCTCCTTCAAACTCTCATATTTTTTCACTTTGACCTGTTGTGTACTAAAGACCCTACCAGTTCCATCTACAAGCCAACATTCTATGTTCTAAGGCCCTTTCTAACTTGAATGTCATTCATTGCTGTTGTGCAGTCATGTCTGACTCTCCGTGGACCCCATTTGGGGTTTTCTTGGCAAAGATATTAGAGTAGTTTGCCATTTCCTTCTCCAACTCATTTTATAGATGAGGAAACAGAGGTAAACATGGTTAAGTGACTTGCCCAGGGTCACAGGGCTAGGAAGCATCTGAGGTCGGGTTCGAGCTCAGGTCTTCCTGACTCCACAGCTGGCACTCTATCCACTGTGCCACCTAGCTGCCCAATATTATTCATACTAACCTGCTCATCTAGTATGTTGTAAGGTCCCTTTCAGTTTTTAGCATTTTACGGTTCCAAGATTCTACACTCTCCACCCTGGGTGACTCTACTTAGGACACGGAGGTTCTTGCTAAGAGAAGCCAAGGAGCCCCAGTTTTCATCCAACCTCCCATCTCTGCTCCCTGCCCTTCCCTGTCCCCCCAAAGGCAATCTGTGAGCCCCTAGCGCCTGTTCTATATAGGGAGGAGGCGCCAGCTGCTCTGCCCCCAGGCATCATACTGACCACTGTTGCTAGAGTCTGGGCACTTGGCTTTCCTTCGAAACTGTTTACGTTCATCATCCCGCATCTTCCTCTCTGCGCCCTGTGGGAGGAGATGAGAGTCACCACACTGCCTGGGGCAAAGGGCTGTCTGCTTCCATAACTGCTGCTTTGCATCTTACAATATGTGTGAGCCACCATGTCATGTTTTCTTTACAGAGCAAGACCAGGAGATGATGACAGGCTTAGTCCAACCCAGCCCTTGTGATAGGATCCTAGCCCCAGCCCCAGCAGTGACTTCCTCAGCTGAAATCCCCAGCTGCCCCACCTTCTGGGTCAACTTCCAGGGCAGAATGGCTAATGGGGGAAGACCATATCTTCTAAGGCAAAAAGCTGGAAGGGATGCTGAAGGGTGGGAGGGGGGCGAAGCCCTATCTTCTCAAAGGATGACAGCAGGTCAATAAATATTTGTGGAGAGTCTAATATGTGAGCAGACTGAGCTAAAGGTTGTAGGAGAGATACAAGGCTAAGACCTGGCCAAGGAGATTGCATTCTAACTGGGGTGAGAAGATACACATGTACATCCATATCCACAATCCACCCCCACCCCCCCACCCCCCAAAAATACACACACAGAAACATTATAGTATAGCAGTAAGATCTATAGATTGGAAGTCGGAAGACCTGGATTTGAGGTGCTGTCACCTATTAATAATTGGGTGACTGGACTCTGGGCTTCAGTTTCCTCCTCCATAAAAAAGGGGGTTGGGCTAGGTGGTCTCTAAGATCCTTTCTAGTTCTAACATTCAGTGTTCTAAGGGCACTTCCAGTTGTGATATTCTCTGTTCTAAGGGCCCTCCAAGCTCTGACATTCTCTGTTCTAAGGGCCCTCCAAGCACTGACATTCTGGGTTCTAAGGTCCCTCCCAGCTCTGACTTTCTGAGTTCTAAGGACCCTTCCAATTCTGATATTCTGTTATAAGGTTCCCTAAGGGCTAATTTTCTACACTATAAAGATCTTTAGCCCTGACGCAACCCATGTTGTGTTTACTACAGGAAGACAGAGTCTAGGAGGGAGCATTCTTATTTCCCCAGCTACAAGGAGAACAGGGGTGGGGGAGGTATCAGTCTCCAGACCACTCTGAGACCCCATTACCTTATCACAGAATATCTTGATCTGGCAGACAGCTCGGTGCACCAGGCGGTCTGTCCCTGTACCACAATCATAGGTGTCGATCTGGAGATTTAGTGGTACGCCTTTTACCCCCTTCTGGGTGGAGAAGTCTGTACTCAGGCAGTTGACTCCAATGAACACCTGGGGTGAGAGGGGGGAGGTGAAGAGATGAGTGGGCTTCCAAGGTTGAGGCATTTTAGGTTTTGCGCTCGACCTCAAAGTTTGTCCTAGGGGCCCGGGGGCCCAGAGATTCTCCAGTTTCTAAAGGGATCGCCATTGAAAACAGCATAGCATTATAGGAAAAGCCCTGGATGGGAAGTCAGGAAACCTGGATCAGAGTCCTGACCCCATCACTAATTCAATGTGTGAGCTTGGACAAGATTTTTTTCTCCTTCTGCCTCAGTATCCTCTTCAGCAAGATGACTTCTAAGGTCTTCTCTAGCTTAAACGTCCTAGATTCTCCAACACAACCCAACATTTCTCTAAGGAGGAGGAGAAGCCAAAATAACACCATTTCCATTTCTACAATCTTTTAAGGCTGATGAAACGCTTTGCTCACAGCAACCCTGGGAGATGGGTTGTATAGGTATTATTATCACTGTATTCTCTGAGCCTCAGTTTACAGATCTGTAAAAATGAGAGGATTCGGCACTGAATGGTCTTTGAAGTAAGCCAACTTTCTAACCAGTTTGCCTTGCTGCACCTTCTATTATTATTATTATTAAATAATAATGATGAGGAAGTGTGATGTGGTGGATAGGCAGCTGGTCTTAGAGTCAGGAAGACCCAAGTTCACGTCCTTCCTCTGACACATACTGGTCGTTTGACTCTGGACAGGTCAATTAATCCCTCAAAACCAGTCACCGGTCTATGATTATAATTAACAGATAACTTGCTGATTTGTATCACAGGAAGAGATTTGGCCACACCAATGAAATCCTAAGTCCAGACCACCTCTTTGTGAGAACCAGAAGCAGGTCCCTCAGACATAGGGGCTAGTGATTCCTGAGCGAGCAGCTCCTGGTGCCTGTTTCAGGTCCCCTCTCTCCTGCCTGGTGCATCCCCGCCCCCTGTACTCCTACCCTGCCCCACCCCCGGTACCCCTCCCTCCCAATCCCCTTGGTTCACCTCAGGCCACCCGATGCCTCTTGTCTTGGGGAGCTATTCTCTTGATGGTGGCCTTGGGGGTCAACATGCCGAGCATACCTTCCCCTCAGACAGCTCTGGACTAAAAGAAGTGTGTTAAAATCTCTGGCTTGTAAAAGGCCCAGGTCCCCTCAGGGCCTTCTGAGGTCTGGGAGAAAATCCCAATCAAAACCCACCTTCCCTTCAATTTCTTCCACCCCACTGTGAGCCAAGAGACAAGACAGCTGTGGGCTGTTCTATATCTGGAAGGGGAGGGAAAGGCAGGGGAGGCAGAGGAGGGCTTCCTGACACTCCCCACATGGCCATCTGTTTAAACAAGTGTCATCCCTCTCCTCTACAGAGCACCTTCCAGCCTTCCTTCCCACCCCTCCCCCAGCCTTCTCATTAATTATCTCATTTAATAATTTCCATAGCATTCCAAAATTATGTAGCAACTTTTCCACAGCTCATTCCAACAAGTGGAATGAGCTTGCACATAGTTACTTAGTAAATGACAGAGCCATCAGCATTAGAACTTAGAGGCAACGTGGTACTGGAGAAAGAACACAGGATTTGGAGTGTGGTGGGGACCTGGGTTCAAATCCTACCTTTGTCATTTACTACCTATGTGACTTAGGCTATGTGAACTTCAGCTTCCTCGCCTATAAGATGAGGTGGTTGCATTAGATGGCCCCCTGAGGTTTCTTTCACTTCTAAATCTATGGTTTAGGCAGCTAGGCATTGTGTTGGAATGGAAAGAACCCTGGATTTAGAGTCAGTGGTCTTGAGTTTGAATCCCTACTCTGTCTGTATGACTGTGGACAACTCTGTGGCCCTCTCAGTTTCCTCACCTGTGGTTCAATGACTTACCCAGGGTCACACAGCTCATAATAATGAAAGCCAATGTTAACATGGAGTTTTAAGGTTGAAAAAGCATTTCACATTGATCATCTCATCTTATTCTTACAATAACCTGGTGAAGTGAGTGCTGTTATCATCCCCATTTTCAGAGGAGGAAACTGAGGCTGATGAATAAGTGTCACCAGGATTAGACTGCTAGTAAGTTTCAAAAGAAACGTGAGATGTGCAAATGTAGAGACATCTCCACTCCAAATGTTCATGTGGACTATTTGTGCCCAACCTGTGGTAGAGCCTTCTGAGATTGTGTTGGTCTGATCAGCCATAGTCAGACACGCTATACCTTGCCCCTGACATAGTGATGTCATTTTAGTCCTCTTTGAGCATAAAGGACAATACCCAACCAGCTAGCAAGTATCTAAGGGAAGATTTGAACTCAGGTCCTCTTGATTCCAAGACCAGCACTCTAACCCCTAGGATAGAGCCAAGTATTAGAACTCTAAGGGTCAATGGGGTTCAGGTGGAAGAACATGAGACTTGGAATCTGATGAGTGGAGTTCAAATCCCTATTTTGACACTACCCAGATGACTATGGCTAAGTCATTTTTCTAGCTTGTAAAATAAGCTTTCTTATCTGTAAGGTAAGGGGGTTGGACTAAACAGCCTTTAAGGGCCCTTCTAACTCTAATTCCCATGATGCACTGGTCTTCAAAGTCCTTCACTTTTTGCACTTTATCTCCCCCAGATCTGGGAGTATAGGGTGGAGATTTTTATCTTGGAACCAAACCAGGTCTAATCTGCTACTTGAAAGCCTTCCCAAGGCAGAAAGTCATGGCTTCCCCTGCTTTCTCTAATGTGTCCTGAAAAACAATCATGTCATTATGGAAAGAAAAAGGTGTGTAACTGTTTCACAAATTTAGGCTGTTGGCTTCCTAAAAGGGAATTGGAGGAAAGTGAATTCTATGTTTCTAGGATACAGTGAGAACTGAGACTTGATTAGGGCAAATCCAAGAAGTTCTCCCTAGGGTTAAACATTTCCCTTCCCAACAATAACCCATGGAAGATTTGGGTTCTAGTCTCACCTCTACTCCAACCAAGCCATGTGGTCTTAACCATATTATTTCTCCTACCTAGGGCCCTTAGTGTCCTGGATCTCCATAAGATGAAGGGACTGAATTGGCTGGTTTCTGAAGTCTTTTCTGGTTCTGGTTCTGGAAACCCCTTTAGCTTTGACATTCTAGGTTCTAAGATTCCTTCTAACACTCACACTCTATGTTCTAATTTTGTATTTTTAAACAACCCTTTCAGCAGTAACATTCTGTGATTCCTTTCATCTCTGACATTCCATGTTATAACATTCTATGTCCTAGCGAGGTCCCTTCCAATACTTACAGTTTCTGTTCTAACATTCCATGTTTAACATTCTTTGTTCTATTCTAATCAACACAATGACTATCCATGACCTTCCAGTGATTACCTCCTATGGTTCTCTGTTCTCTGCTCTTCAATTATATCTATGAGTACTGACCTTGGCTTCTTCATTCACATTCCACACGAAAGACAGGGCATTATAAGCCACTTCCTCAATATGCTGGACGGTATTGAAGTTTTCTTTGCAATCCGCTGAAAATGAGATGAAGCCAGATTAGAAGTGACTCATGGGGTGGAGCCTTCAGAAACTGGGGCATGCCCATGGCCTTGGCCCCAGCCCCTCTTACCCAAGGACCACCTCTAGGTCTCTGAGGCAATCTTGTTCACTAAACACAATGATATAGATGGGCCCAGCAAGGAGAACTGATCAGCACAAGGTACCTTGCTAAAACCTAACTCCCCCAATTGTTTTGTAAGAAGAAGTTATATTTTCATTTTTCTACTTTGGGGATTTTGTGTGTGTGTGTGTGTGTGTGTGTGTGTGTGTGTGTGTGTGTGTGTGTGAACACAGTAAAGTCCAGAAGCAAAGTTGGGAAGAAAGCCTCACTGCTGGCTTATATCTCTCTTCCTAGAACCACAGCAAATCACTGAGAAGGAGGGGTAGTGTCTAGCCTTGAGTGAGAATGTAACTCAATGTAGTGGGAAGCAAAATGGACCAAGTGTCTGAAGATGTGGATTTCTGGCCCAGGAATGGCCAAGTCCCTTCCCCTTTAAAATGAGGTTGGCTGAGACAATCTCTAGGTCCTTTCTGCTCTAAAGCCTTGATGGAATGAATGAATGGAAGGAAGACTTGGAACCCAGAAGACACAGGTTCCAATCCTGCCTCTGACATGAAATACATGATTATGTATGATAAGACACATGACCTGAGCCTCAGTTTCCTCATCTGTAAGATA